CACTAGGCTGACAGATGGCAGAACCGTGATGTACAAGTAACACAAGAACATCGGTGTCTAGACCACTTAAAACAATACGGTATAGTTGGCTCCATTCTCAGCAGCCAATCTCGCCTTTGATAATATTCTAGGGTCTGCTTCTTCGTGATTTGATTTTAGCTTTAAATTCTTCACTGCCCTCTATCTTCTTGGCTCTCCATTTCACCACTGATATAAACAGCCTGTTTCAGCCAACATGGAACTTTATTTTCCATTATATACTATGCTTAGTATTTTACTAAAGTGGCCTTGTTTTGACCTGTAACTAGAATCTGTTTCCAGTTAGGATGGATAACAACGTCTGGTTGGATGTGGTACAATATGCTATTCCACATTATATCACCACGTTTCCTCCTGGTATGATTTTTGCCACGAAATTCCAAATACTTCTCAAATATGTCATGAATCTCAGTTTCTTCAGTGGGTCTGATGCATCAAGTGTCTACAAGATATACTTCAGGAAACTTGTGCATGTCTTGAAATGTGATGGTATTATTTGTTGTGGAAGGTGTTAGCATCTGAATCACTGCTTGCCCATCAAATATCGCTGCATCACATACATTTATTTGGCTGACCTTCTCACCTGGAACCAGTTCTTCGCTTGTGCATCAAGTCAGATTATTTTTACCAGAGACCAAGTGCCCACCTTCCGTAAAGAGACTTAGAGGCACTAGTGAGTTTTCATATGAATGGGCACGTTGAAAGGAACGTTTTTATTACTGTTCACTGCTAGTAGTTTCAGGTATACACTGTGTCAGTATCAATGGATACATTGTTATTATTTACTTTTACAGTGTTCTTCATGTCTGTCATTGTTTTCAACCTTGAACGATGTAAAGTGTCATAAGCCTTTTGGATACAAGTCGTTTGTCTGTAAACTTTTCAACCAGAATGGTACCCGTCTGCATGGCAGTCATGACATTTGAATATCACATGGTGCAGCAGAACCATCAGCAATGTTCACGAGCTGAGTAGGCGGATCTGATACATCAAAGGGGTCAATGTACGATCCATTAAACATCTCTCCTCTTGTTAACATCATCATCCAACGTTTCGCTGCCTGTTTCCCAGTGGTAGGACCCATCTTGCTCTGTACATCCAGCTACGTTCTTATGGGTTTGTTCTGAGTACTGTGCCGTTATTTGTCTACTTAAGAACCATCTCATTAATGGGGTTGACTAAGGTCAGACCAATCATTCCACCTGCTCCTTTAAGGTCTTTGTTCTGTGTGCCCATCTATCATGTAGTTCATCGAAAAAGAATTAAACCGTGAAAACTTGCTTTTACAAAATATCCCTTCTATGTATTTGGCATAACTGGAACGATTAGTGATGAATGAAAGTGGCACGAGGAGTGCTGCAGCTGATTCATGCATATCCCTGCATCTTAGTAATTTTACAGCATTACATAAAAACTCAGTTAGTATTTGTCTACTTTATCTGAATTTATCTTTATCAGATTTCTTGACCCCATAAACATCATAGTTTAACATATATTCATCACTTTAGTTACATAGATCCAGAGATGCTAACTTACGATGAAGCGTCGGTCATTTAAAATGGCGCGTAGGCAACTCTGCACGCATTTTTGACAATAGCAAAACATGGTTTCATGATCCACATACCCCAAGCTAACTCTTAGCTATACAGACAAATGTTACCCTGTTGACCTGACCTACTCTGAAAACTAGGCCCTTGAGGGCTTGTTCCTGAACCATTAGGAAATATGTATAATGGCATTCGCCAAATTACTTTCATCTTTGCTTACCCTGTTGCAATAAAACTCGAAAATATTTGTATAAGACGTTCGTCGATCGCCCTTTGGCTGATGATCCTGAATCACAATAATTAGTAAACAGCAACACAGTGCCAAGTACCACCAGCAGTGAGGCAGGATGGCCGCCCACACAAACGGAGCCAACGGAAGCAAAAGCCCCATGGATCGACCCCGGTCGCCCTCGACCTCCCATGATCCTGAGGTAGTCTATCAGTATAGGTCTTGTAGTCCACCACCTCAGCGCGGATGGCACTCATACCGAAGGGGCCGAGGCCAATGTCAGCCTCCTGTGAAGTGCAACAAACAAACACATGTCACAATCTGCCTAATTGTTGATAAAGGTATTATTATAACAGAGGAGTAATACACCTCAATCCTTACTAATATATTGTTCTATTAATTCTGTGAATCTGAATAAAACTAAACCCTGGTAAACGACCCAGCTGTTATCATGGGTTCAATGTGGGGAACTGAAAGCGTTAGAAACAGCCCCGTAAAAAAATAATAACCTCCGTGGCCCCATCAACATCTTTCTTCGACGAAGCAAACAAAGAAACGTGACTCGAATGAGCATGCTGGATATGAGGTTTTAAAATCTTAATGTTTTATTATTATCAGTGGTGCCAGTACCTACGGGCAGAGTACAAAATAGAAATTCCACACAAGAAAACAGTATGAAAGGGTTCCAAGTTCAAAAATATAAACCTCTGTTATGTCGGCAGTAAATGAAGTATGCCATAATGTCACGAAAATAATCTCAACTCGACTCGACAACAACTCTGGTAATCAAAATATGGAACACTCAAAAAGTTTATTAAAACTCAGTGGATGGCTGAAATTACATTTTTTTACTATTGGGTATGTGGGTTATTCACAGTTAATGCACAGCGGAGGTCATCTTTTACGTAGAGCCGATTACGCTGTTTCTATTTAATGCTCAATAACGTGGAAAAATCGGCTTCGCAGAGATAGGTAGACGAGAATGGTAGAAGCATCTGGGTAGCGATTTTACTGATATTAGGTAACGGCCCATTGCCACCCAAAACTCAGTCAAACTTCTCTTCGAATATGTCAATGGCAAATGATTCGTTTCGGAGTTCCAGGAATTTATCTTGAATTGCCTCTGGTCTGTTCTCCACGCGAAGGTTGACAAAATGGATGATGACAATGAGTCATACATTGTGATGCTTGCCTCATTGCCATTTAAATCATGAAAATATTTAAGAAATTTTATCTCCAGTGACTCCAGATGCTCAAGAATGTCGCTTTTCAGCACAGGATCAAGCTTTTTTCCAACACTGTCTTGAACTTCAGACAATCTTTCAAACATAGCAATGTTTCTTTGTTCACTTTCCTGCACCAGCTTTGGAGTTTGGCAACAACTCATGAGATGACCTTGGAAAAGAATAATATTAGTCGCCCTGCCTTGGAACTTGAGGCTTCAGCTGGTTCTTCTTCTCAAAATAACAGCAAGATAACCAAGTCTTTTTTCCATAGTTCTTCATCGCAATGCTACAGGAGGTCATGTTTCATTTGAAGATTAAATAAATGTTTGACTTCTGAAAGAAGTTAAAATCACGGTTCAGAACATTACCTTTCAAAGCTAGCGTACAGCAGTATACAACAGCAACGTTTTCTTGATTTACATAAATGTTTTTGCATCTCCTTGAACATTTGGTGTTGAGGTACTGCCTTCATGTAGTTAACTATCTTGATTGCGACCTCAAGAGCCATCTTCAAAGCCAGGGCGTAACGATGAATCATGCAGTGGGTTCCTTTGCTTGTGGTGGAACCTCTTCACCTTTGCTTGGAATTCGATTTGGAACCAAGCATGGCAGGAGCACCAACTGTACAAACACCGCTTAAATTTCCATCGAACTCCTCCCGCGTCGAAGAATAACGTCATTTTTACATGACGTCTTCAGCTTTGTCGTTGTTTTTAGAGCAATGCAGAAGAAGAATTCTTCCTTGATATCATCTCCTGGACATAACGAACAATTGGCAGTAGCTGAGCAGGAACTAACATCGGTCGATTCATCAATTTGAAAATCAAACAAGATTCATGATCTGCTGTTACACATCTTCCGACATCACTAATGCTGCGCTGCACTGTTATTCAACAAGGATACCTGTTATATTTTGCGAGCCGCAGATCTTGTCGCGAACTCGTTCGACAATCAGAAAGGTACAACAAGGCTTGATGATCTCTTCCCATCCGAATGTGTTTTTTCTTTGCAATATGAAGAGAAACTTCATAAGAAGCCTGGACTGTTGCTACATATTGCTGTTGCTTTAAATTTATTTCTATCCACTTGAAAAATTCGGGAACCTGCTTTGCATGTTGTGCGAGATTCGTCTAAAGAACCAACTTCAACTTGTATGGTTGTGCTAGTATACTGTCATACCGTTCAAGTTTTATTTAGAATTAATTAATGATTAACATCATTAGTATTAAGGCATTCTGTTATGAAGATCAAGCATTATTTAATTTTTATGAACTCACGCCGTTCAAATTACCCCATGGCCCCAGGTTGAGAACCACTGCCGGGTTAGAGCAAGGTGTCCCCGTGTGCACCGAAGGCTGATTGTAGTAGTGTGTTGTACCCACACTGTTCCTAATGGCCAATGGGCTACCATGCCTATTTTCTTTCTTATGAAATGTGTACAGTAATAAGTTGTTTCAACCTAGAATACGCATCCAGCCTTAACAAGATAAAATATGAAATGCTAGGAATCATTTTAATTTCTGCTTGTAAAATAATTTTTATAAGAATCTTACTTTTCGGCTACAACGCCCACCATGCCCGACCAGGACCCATCATCCCTCTTAGTGCCCTAAGACCCATCAGGCGGCCGCACGAACGTGTACCTGACAAGGAAAGGAAAGGTAGACAGGCATGTTAAGTCTCAATCTATATGGAAGGAAAAAGAGGTCGTTTTTTTTTCACATTTGTTTAATAAGGGCAATGGTGTTCTTTTTTTATTATATATTTTTCTCATGGTAATTGCTTGTAATTAGCTTCATGAAAAGACATGATTAAGAGGGTAGCTATATGGGCTGTATACACACCGACACTTCCTTTGAGCTGCGAATAGCAACAGATACGTCTCAATGAGCACTTTCCCTAAAACTCATTAAAATTGCGAGAACCTTTAAAAACCGTCAACGAAAATAACTCATGAAGTTAATAGACTTGGCCAGCAGGAGGAGAAGGTTGACCATGGGTCCCTTGAAGGAGATTGGGTGGTCTGACTGCCCTGATCCGGTGAGCGCTGCGTGAGGCTGATTCCGCCACCACGACCAGTGACGCCCCGTGCTCGAACCTGCTCACCACCATCACCACAGTAACAACAACAAGGTCTTACAAGTATCAGTTATTAGTTTCAGTTGCCAAAGGCTGATGGAAGATCAAGTCGGCAATTATATTTTCCTGTATGGTTGTGTTCTATTCTTATTACTTAAAAAACTGGAAACAGTCACATCCTTACTTGGAGAACTTGTTAGGGAAGAGCGGAGGTGGGAAGTGAGAGTGAGGCCTCGTTGGTGTCCAGGACGCTAACCTCAACGCCTGAGTTCCCTGCTGGCTGTAGGGCAGGTGAATGTACAGAGAACACCTATGGAAGAAGAAGGAGTTCAGATGCTATCCCTGTAAACCTGACAGTTTGACAGAGAGTAGGAATTATCAGATCAACATATCAATTACCTCTGGGAATTATTTGTCTTGTCCGCGATGAACAACATGGCGTTATTCCCGGAGAGTAATTCGTGTATGTGTTGGAGTTCCGTGAGGGGCCGGCGGTGACGACGAGGAGCCTGTTGACCACACCAGGAGGCGGCCCTTGAGGGACCACTCGGCGAAGGCGGCGAGGAAGGCTGGGTCGTCGCTCACCACCACCACCGTCACGCACCACGACACCTGCCGCAGCTGTTGACGTCAACATGGTAGAAGTTATGTGAGAGTGACCTACCCGCCTCAGTAGTAATGCGAGAGACCTACCCGCCTCTGTAGTAATGTGAGAGTGACCTACCCGCCCCAGTAATGTGAGAGTGACCTACCCGCCTCAGTAGTAATGTGAGAGTGACCTACCTGCCCCAGTAGTAATGTGAGAGTGACCTACCCGCCTCAGTAGTAATGTGAGAGTGACCTACCCGCCTCATTAGTAATGTGAGAGTGACCTACCCGCCTCAGTCGTAATGTAGAGTGACCTACCCGCCTCAGTAGTTATGTGAGTGACCTACCCGCCTCAGTAGTAATGTGAGAGTGACCTACCTGCCGAGCCTCGTCGACACCAGATGATCAAACTCCTAAAGGAATTATATCGTTAACCACAACATGTGTATATCCCATTACGGAGATAAACTACTTATTATGGTAAGGTTACAAGGTGTCCATCTTAGATATCTTAATGTTATCCCTAACAGCACGCTCTCTTCAAGGATGAATTTAGGAAGCACCGACAAGTAGCTGATAACGATTGACTCACACATTATTATATCACTGAAAACCCAGATTACTCACTGAGATCATAGCGGCTGCCGAGGTAGTGCCATCTGTGATCAGAATTACTGAACAGTGAGCTTGTCACTTTTTGAGTGCTGAGCCACGGCGCCTGAAGCTAATGATAGTGTCTTCCATTTCTCTGTTGATTGTGAGAAAAAAGTTTTATTTCAATTTAGTATTCGTTAAGAATTAAATCTTAATATACATTTATATACAAATTTTTTACTACTTTGCTGTCACTAGGAACAAGTATGACGATCATCCAGCTATGATACAATGATATGAGTTATTGAGGATGTCACCTTCGTTGGTGAGCTCTGAGGTGACTGAGAGGGCGATACGGGATCGTAAGGTACAGTCGTCCACAGATGTTGCATCCACAGGGCTACATCTAGTGCGGGAGGGGCGGCGGCAGCATCTTTCCGGCGCTGGCGCTTATCTGCCTCTGTATGCAGTCGGGCTAACTCGAAAGTATTAACACCTTGTGTGCTCCTCAGCGTTACGGTGTGGACTGTGAAGTCGATTTGGCACTTTTCAGGTTTGTCTCAAGATTTTCCTTCCAGCATTACGTTTACCATTCCTTAGGTGACTGGAAAGTTGCTGCTTTGGCAGTCTACTGTCGTCCATGTGGGTAACATGGCCAGTCCATCTTATTTGTTCATGGATAATGGGGCCTCGATGCCTCTACAGTTGGTGTCAGCTAGAATACTGGCATTTGTTTTCTTGTCTTCGGAGATGGAACATTGATTACGTTGGTCAAAGTTTTCAAGTGCTTTGAGGTGCATCCTGTATTTGACCCATGTCTCGCTGACACAGAGCAGAATGGAAAGGACCACTGCTCGATATACGTGCAACTTTGTAGATAATTTCAGCTTCCTCCTACAGTTGAAAACACGGGTACAGAGTCTGCCAGGCTTGAGATGCACATCTGATCCAATGTTGAATCTCTTCATCGATGTCCGCAGTAGTGGACAGGTCTGCATACTGAAGTTCAGTAACGGAAACTGCCGACACCTTTGTTCTTGCCTGGAGTCGTCTTTGTTTAAAAGTAACTTCCTCCAGCACTAGATATCACCGCTGGCTAAATTGGTACTGGCACGAGTAAGGAAGGCAACCAAGAAAATGGAAGTTGGTGTCAGTATACATCTATGTTTTGCCTCCTGGATGAGGAAGAACTCAGGCTGGATGTCACTGTAGGACATTGCCGTTCATGCCATTGTGGAGTTGCCTTACAATCGCCATGAATTTTGGTAGGCAGCTGAGGTCCACTTGAGGGCTTCCTGTTGACTGAGTCGAGTGCCTTGGGAAGATTGATAAAGGCAATGTTTGGCCACGACGCTGTTCTCTGTACTTCTCCTGTATCTGGCTGGCAGCAAAGATCATGCCAGTGGTGCCAGTGATGGTCTAAACTCTTAGCACATTGAGATTCGGGAGGAAGTCTTCTGCCTCAGGAAGAAGTCTGTTTAGGTGGACTCAGGCGATAATCTTGCCAGCTACGGACGAAGCGAGATCCGCTGTAGATGCCACAGTCTCACGGTCTCCTTGTTCTTATAAATATTAACGATGAAGGCTTTTAGAGTTTGGAGGATTTCCTCCTTTTTCCATATATTCTCCAGGAGAGAGTGGATACAGCTGGTAGCAGAGGTCCTCCTGCTTTATGCAACTAAGCTGGCTTTGCTATTTTTCACCTGTTTGATGGCAGTAGCTACTTCATCCAGAGATGGAAGACAGCTGGGTGGGTCAGCTTTGGGTGCTGAAGGACCTACTGAATAGTCAGGACATCCACGTTGGTGTTTCGGTTGAGCAGCAAATGGTATTGCTCTTTCAGTGCTAACGATGCCTTCTTCTTCTTTATTTAGGAGTTACCATTGGATGAACGAGGTACTGCACCAGAAGTGATTGGTCCATAAAATGTTTTGTGGAATTAAAAATTCGCCCATCTTGTGTTGATCTGCAAGTTTTTGCTTTTCATGTGCTTTATTATTCAACCATCTGTTCTTTAGATTCAATGTTTGCTCTTTACCGCTTTCCACTTGTGAACAGTATCAGTTTTGATCTGAGACTGAGGGTTGTTCTTCCAGTCAGTTAGGCCATGACGTTTATCATCGATGAGTCCGTTGATTTCTGGGTCATTTTCATCAAACCAATCCTGGTGTATTCTTTCGATCTGGCCAAGGCTCTTTCTACAGGTTTTGTTATGACAGTGTCCAGAATACCCCATTCGGCAGTGGTAAAAGGGTTGTTTGTTATCGTTTTTTATCAGCCTATGTTCAGGCGCTCTCTGAAAGCATGTGCTACTGCTGGATCCTCAGACACTTAAAACATCTTCGAGCTTGTTGCCTTCACCATTTGGGGCGACGTGAAATAAGAGTTTGGTTTTGACGAGGCGATGATTATTGTCACAGTGTTCGATGATTATTGTCACAGTGTTCTGAGATACATGGCTCAGGTGATAAGGACATCTCTGTGATCTCTTTCTCTGACAATGATGTAGTCAATGAGATGCCAGTGTTTGGATCGTGGGTGTTGCCACTGACCCTTGATTGTCAACCTTCCTAAACAAGGTAGTGGTGAGAGTGAGGTTGAGTTCAGCACACTTGCTTAGGAGGAGTTGGCGCTGGGATTACACTTGTCTACTCGGTTTCTCAGTGGTTCCTGCCATATGTCAGCATCTCTTCCAACTCTGGCATTGAAGTCACGTAGGAGCACAACCTTTTCTTCTCTGGGGATAGAGGTTAGCAATCTGTCGAGGTGGTAAAATAATTTCTTGAAGTCATCCTCTGATCCAGTGTCAGGGCATATGCACTGATGAAGAAGGCATGACTTGAGTAATTCAGTGGGACTTGGAGTGTCAACAAGCGCTCATTGAACCACAGGTATGTCAGTTAGCCTATGTAGAATGGATTGGCGAATGGGCCAACTCTATAAATGCGGGTTTTTCTCTAAAGCAGGCTTACCCTTCCCAAAGTACAGCCAGACCCCCGCTCTGTGAGCCGACCTGAGGGCGGTTCTTCTTTCATGACGCTCATTTGTGCAGTATCCAGAAAGGCCTGACATTCCATGCAGCGACCATAAGAGGTTGTATAGTATGCTTGCTTTGATCTGTGATTTTGATTGTGTTTCGACCGTATAAAGATGACCTTACTTGGTGCAGTTGCCCAGTCAGGTTGGGTCTTTAGGCAGGCTATGTTTAGGGCGCCTTTTCTAGTCCCTCCCCATGTGGGGTGAGCACAGTGGCACAGGCAGGACCGGATTACACTGCTGCCTAGACCCCAGTGCATACACGACCAACATATCTATGCCGCCCATGTGCAGAGTTGGACTAAAGACTCCCGGCAGTCATATCCACTTGTCTCCGTCGCCACTCATCCGTTACTATAGGACCTTTGTGGGTATAGGGATTTTGATGATGATGAGGGGTATGATGAGCTGGATTATGGCTGTATGTGAGTCGATTTATGTGGTGTTAAGGAGAGCAGACTGCAACCACACATCTTGGCTCTCCTTTTCCTAATCCAGTGGTGCAAGTGTTGCAACGACTGGGGAAGTTGCAATGAACTGACGGTAGCCCAGTCTTTTTATTACGCCTTGTAGCCTGTCCATCATGTATTGTCTTAGTCGCGGTGTAGTCGTTGGGTTCCCATGGTGGTCACTTCTACCGCCTATACTGTCGTGAGGTCTTACTGGAGAGCTGTAGGCATCTGCCTGATGCGGACTCCACCCAGATTTTTCTCATTTGGGATTTACTCCCATAGCCACCGACCAGGGTTAATCCGCCAAGGCAGCGGGGCAGTGGTTGGTAGGCGCTAAGACTTGTTAACATGCCAGTGGGCCTATGAGCTATCCCCTGGGCATTGCTGCCCCAAGATCTTTGTTGGAATTTCCATGAGGAGGCACAGCAGGAGCTTTGATGTGTACTGGCATGGGTAGACTTATGCAAGTTGTTTCCTGTTCGCAACGAGAGATAACCAGCGGCGTAGCTGCAAACGAGAGAAACAAGCAGTGCTTGCACTTTAATACTAACATTACTCTGCCAGGCTAGATGCATTACAGCACCCTGTGGCGCGTGCACACACACACACACACGTACATATATATGTATATGTACTGTATATATATGATGTAAGTCGCAAGACCTCTCCTTAGGACTCTATTCCACTACCTGTTCCACGAAAATTACCCATAAGTGGGGATTTCTCGGTTAAGTCAATTTTCTTAGGCAAGGTGACCCACTTCAATCTGACACACACTAACTTTCGTGCTCCTGCTGGGCGTGTATTTAGCTATCGGGGATAATAATGAAGTCCCATTATAGCATTAGCAAATGTACTGACTATGTTTATGTTTCTTCAGTGTAATTAACATATTCATGTAAAAATGAAAGTGGAAAAAATACACACATACCCATACTACTTGGTAGCACGTCCTTGTTTTAGATAAACTGACTCTCCATCATCAATGGATTTCAAACCCTATAAAATATACTTGCATGAACCTACACCTAATTTCTAAAAAAAAATATATATATATAAATATTATATTATCATAAAACATCGGCTTATACACAGATATGTCATAGAAGAAATAGGCGGTATCCTCACCTTTATGGAATGATGGATGAGCCAATACAACGGAGGTAAACAGTGTGAGGAGCAGCAGCATACAAGTGTAATCCTCTCTCATGGTCATTCTCTCACCTCCACTGTGATAGAAACACCATTATCAATATGGGAGGAATAACTGCTATCATGGCTATGTAGCCTCTTCATATTGCTGGAGCCTCATGAATACAATACGATTTTGATCCAAATGAATGTTATCTTTATGTCTGTCCTTCAGTTTGCTGCCAACGTTTCTAGAAACGTTTTTCCTCCCTGTCTAACGTGTATGCCGATATACTGTAGTCAAGTACACTAATATTTTTTAAGAAATTTTATTATATACACCCATGCCTAATAATGCTGGTGTGTAAATTGTGCATTCAGATTTTTCTTTATATGGATAAACACATATTCTTCACCTGGTGTAATGGTGATTGTCAGACCAAACCTTACAGCCCAGAATTATGCGCATATAACAGCAAGAGCACTGCAGACCTCGTGGTACCACCACATTCCGGGTTGGCACACCTCAGGTCGACCAAGGGACTTGACCTCGCCCGCTAATGACGTGAGCCGGTGACCTACAACCGCACCTAGCCAAGACCCTGGCCAGGACCACACCTGCACACAACTATCCAGATCAAACCAGTTTAGTGTTAATTGTTAGAGGTCAGAAGCCGGCTGGGCCGACCCCATATAAAGGCCTGATCCCGTCCACGGGCATTCATTATCATTATCATTCTAATTCTGGTCATACTGATTCTCATTCTGGTTGCTGTATCCCCTCCCGTTCGGGTCGTCACTCGGTTCACTAAGCAGAGTCACGCGTCCCTCCCCAGGTCGGGAGACCTCCCGACCAGACCACGGCATCGCCAGCTAAGCAGACTCTCCCGCAAGGCGCAGCCAGCACTCACTGGGCCTACGTCAGGGTACACGTGAGTCTTGTCAGAACGTCCTAGGGTGAGTTACCTACTGTGGGAAGTGTATTCATTCAGGTGTGTCCGAGTCAGTGTCAAGTAACGTAAAGCATAATGTGTTAGTACCCCGATATAATAGTGATATTAATGTGTCCATGTCATTAGTGAAGTAATAAATAGTTGTATCAAGAGGTGTTTAACAAGTTGTCCTTTAAAGTGATATATGTGTATTGACATACGAGATAAGATAAGCGTAGTGAAGCTGTGCAAATAACATCCTGGCCACGCTACCAAGTTTCCTATCTTTACATTCCTACTCTCTATACTTCCTACTTATATGTAATTCTCTTCTTGTGAGATTCGTCTCATTACACTGGTAAACGTATTAATCGATTGGGAAGGAGAATTTTCCCAAAATAGTGAGTTATTTTACAAACTAAACCTTTTATTAGCTGAGGGAATTACCCATTACAATCCATGTCTTAATTAATCACGTTTCTTACATCAAACCATCGTTTCCATCTTTATTCCTGATGACGTTTGTATGTTTCAACCCTTAAGCCTTTCAAGAAAACTGTCAAGTTTAGTAAAGAATTTGCTCAGTGTCACTTTAGGTACACAAATAGGAATATATTCAATTTTTTTTATAATATATTAAATATTTTATGCATATTTTTCCCATTTAACTTAATGTCCTTTAATTAAAACTTAGATAAGTGACTGCATTGATACATTTATGTTGTGAAATAAGTACATTTACCGAACATGGAAAATGTTAACTGATTAAGCAAAATCTAAGAGCGTAAATGAAGCATCTCTGATGAATGATGATGCTTAGGATCTGTAATTCAGAAACAGCCGTAGTTGTCGTAGTGACCACTAACAGCAACGTAAGTGTTGCCAATATAGTCGACTCACATGCTAGGCGTCCAATCTCGCGCTATCGAGTTAACTATGAATATTTTGATATGTGCGGACAACTTCTTGAATCTAATGAATATATATGCATTAAGTGTAAAGCTGCTAAGATAAACATTAGCCTGCCCGTAAGTCCAGGTGGAACGTGAATTGTACCAAAATCATTAAATTCAGCCCAAATAAGAATACGTGAAGTCACCCTTTAAATGTATCCTACACAGAAGCCTCAGATACCGTATCAAGTACGTAACATTATAGATTGCCACCTACAGTATCGCAGGGTCTATCGAGCTGGAACTACTATGAGTATACTGCGGTCTACCGAGGTTAGAAGTAAGGCTGAGTTGGGATAGCTATATTAGAATGAATTAAGGATTGGGTTGGGTTTGGTTTGGGTTAATAGACGCTATAGTATAAATATCCCGTTAGACCAACTCCAGCTCAGTAGACCAGCCTCCAGCTCAGTAGACCAACTCCAGCTCTGTGAACAACTCAGCTCATTGGGCCATCACGTCTCAGTGAACAACTTCAGCTCAGTAGCCAACTCAGCAGCTTGGTAGACCCAACTCAGCTCAGTAGATCCAACTCCAACTCGGTAGACCAACTCCAGCTCAGTGAACTGCATCCGTCTCCAGTGGTAACTTCAGCTCGGAAGACCAACTCTCCAGCTCAGTAGGCCAACTCCAGCTCAGTAGACCAACTCCAGCTCGGTAGACCACATCCCAGCTCAATGAGCCAACTCAGCTCAGTAAGACCAACTCCAGCTCGGTAGACCAGCTCCAGTTCGGTAGACGCATCCAGCTCGGTAGACCGCATCCAGCTCGGTAAGACGAACTCCAGCTCGGAAGATTAACGCTCCAGCCTCGGTAGACAGCATCCAGCTCAGTAAGACCAACTCCAGCTCAGTGGGCAACTCCAGATCGGTAGACCAACTCCAGATCGGTAGACCCACATCCAGCTCGTGAATTAACTCTCAGCTCAGTAGACCTTGCTCAGCTCAGTAGGCCAACTCCAGCTCGGTAGACCAACTCCAGCTCGGTAGACCGCATCCCAGCTCGGTAGACCAACTCCGCTCGGTAGACCAACTCCAGCTCAGTAGACCAACTCCAGCTCGGTAGACCGCATCCAGCTCGTGGAGCCGCATCAGCTCGGTAGACCGCATCCAGCTCAAATGAACCAACTCCAGCTCAGTAGACCAACTCCAGCTCGGTAGACCAACTCCAGCTCATTGAATAGCTCAGCTCATTGAGCCGCACCCGTGAGCATCATTTAAAATGTCCTTGTGAACATATTGCTTAATATGCTATTTTGTTTGTCCCAAGTCCCGTGTCTGTTGTTTCTAAACATTATGTTATCATGGTGTATGTTGATCATTCGGTTTAACATGATATTATCTGATGCCTATGCAAACACTACAGTATTATGAATATATAATTAACACTTTTGATGGATCAGGAGTTTTAAGAAGTTAGTTTATTATTAAGCGCACAAACACAACAATGTTATAATCATGGGATCTTTGAACATATGTCAATAAAATAATTTTCTCTGTATATACAGTGAAGATGTCAAAGGATATAAACTCCATTTTCAAAATTAATTTATTAACACTATTTAATTTGGCGTTCCTTCAAATAGCGATATATAAACACATAGTAGTTGTGTAATGCTGAATAAACAACACAACTATCTCAGCGGCAGTGTGTTGAAATATAATACCTCTTGTATTAGGGTTTTATTATACTCATCACAGTTACATTAATGGTGTGTACTGTTCGTGGATGAAAAAGTCTGAACTGAAATCTCATGTATATTACTGAATGACAGTGTTTCGCAGCACACAATTAAATGAAAACGTGCATTTAATGATAAACTGTGATGAACAATCAGACATAGGGTGTTCTACACAGGTATCGACAGGCTTCTGTACGTTCCTCCATTGTATGAGGATATTGTTTTTCTGACATTCATTTTGTTATTTACACTTCTATAAACCTCAAAGTGTTCTCATATTCTCTGTAGCAGTGGAGTTTATGTTCTCTAGGAACAAATTCTTCCCATTGTTCACGGCTTCATGGTTCTTGAACGCAGAAAGCTGTTCTGATTTGATGGTGGATATCACAAATTTCTTTTATTCGCCATATTATTTGAGGAATTTGTTGTCTGGCTGACAGAAAGACAAATCATATTCTTGGAGACGACGGAGGACTGTTTTTGAACTACAACGAAGCTGTAGGGTCTTTATGATGTCAAATCAAGGGCGATTGCGATATCGACCGTTTGCTGCCAGACAATGGCTTCGTCTTCCTCCGTGAGGTCCTCGGGTCTACCACTACGAGGTCTCGTATCTACCACCTCTCTTTTCAGCGTCTTATCACCTGTACACAGTTGTAACACTCATTGCCCATCTCTTGAGCAATGCTACGGGCAGATATTCCACCCACATCACACGAATCGAGCTCGATCGGTTAAAGCTGTTGTCTAAACGTACGACGCTCATTGCCTAACACAGAAATGCGAAATAGTTTATTTTCACACGTTTGACATTAAATTGTTGATGGATTGGCTAATTCATGTGCAACGGTGTCTGTCTTGTACACCTAATACATAAACTTTTTTTCAGTAATGGACCCGGACAGTTATTTCAAACTAATATAGCAAGAATCATTTCGTCTATTGATGTATTAATCAAAATGAACATAAACGTAAATATCGTATTTCTAAAATGGTTCAATCAATTTCAGCACTCAGCCTTACAATCTAAAATTTGGTTAAATCTGCAGAGATGACACAAAATTTAGCTTCCTGTAAACACACACACACACATATACGCCCTCAGTGACCTCCTACCGCAAATAATAAGGTTTGGCGGTGGACTACTACTTGCACTGATAGATATAAGAGAATAACACCATCCATCTATTGTTGAAATAATACAGTTCCTGGTTTATGTACTGTACACCCTGTAAATGTATTGAACGCATATCATTATGTCTAAATCACATGTAACTTCAGCAATGAACTTGTTACGTGGAAGCGTAGTTTCATGACGAAGAGGAGAACCAGGTGATATACAATAAAACGTATTATTATTCCAAAATTTACCTTCCGCAAAATTGAAAAAAGAGCAATATTATTTAAAATCGGTAAAATGACGAGAGACCTACGTACAAAATAAATTCAGAAAAACTAAACTAAACCTGGGGGGTATTACCTTAATTGAGACGAGCCTTAGTGAGAAAAACACAACAGTTCACAGGAAGCTATATCACAAATGGATGGCTTTACTTTACACTGATGCAAGGCTTCCAAAATGAGGAGGTCCGTCTCACAGTTGCTCCTGCCAAGAACTGCGAAACGGGTGGTCATGTTGGTGGTGGGTTGTGTGATTAACTGGCCTGTTCGGGCGGAGGGGCCCAAGTGTTCATGGATGCGAGTTACCAAATATTTTTTTTGCTTTACCAATACATGCTGCCCTACAGCTAGCACGTAAATTGATAAACAACTGAGGATTGAAGGTGAGTGGGTATGGTGTCGTTAGTCTTAAAGAATTTTTAATTGAACTTTTGGTTTTGAAGACTAGTCTAAGAGATATTTGTGGAAAGAATTAAATGAGAAGCTTCTTAAGTTTGTTTCTAAGGGTGAAACTGAGTGGGCCTGTGTACTGGATGGTGAAATAGATAGAATATTTAGGAACGGTGTGGATTTGAGGTTATGCGATCACGTCTCTATGTTCCTCAATTGTTTAAATTCGAAACATGGCAACTTCATATTTACTTGAATTGGAAATGGACAATATTCTACCATTCCTTGATGTTAATATCCACCGTCTTCATAATAGTTTCAGAGACAGCCTTATACAGAACACCAACAGTCACAGGTTGGAGTTCAAAATTTTCATCTCTTATTCCTCTTAATTACAAACGAAATCTAGTTCGTACTCTTACCGACAGATCCATTAGTATAAGTTCAAGCTATTTCCACCTGGACATTGAACTGAAGCACATAAAGGAACTACTCCTTAACAATGGTTTCCCTAAGAGATTTACACATACTTACTATATAGGCAAAACCTAATAGGATTTTAGTCAACAGCCTCAAATCCACACCGTTAATCACACCCCACCCCTGTCGCTCATATATCCACCCAACTTATGTTTGAAGTATCCAGCGTATTCGAGTTAATGTTGATGTTTAGTAACTTGTTCCTCGTCCACTACTCTATTTCCAAACCAATGTTTACCTATCTTTCACCTAAATCTAAATTTGTTTAATTTAAATTCATTGTTACGAGTTCTCTCCTGGTTGGATAGTTTGAGTACCTTTGTTATATCACCTTTGTTCAGCCCTGACTTCCATTTATACACCTCGATCATATCGCCCTCCTCTACATCTCTCGAGGAAGTGCACATTAAGATGCTTTAACCTCTCTCTGGACTAAGGGTTTCTAATGCCGGGATTAGTTTTGTCATTTCCTCTCAATTCTTTCTAGGGATTCAATATCCATTCTGTCGTGCAGTAACCAGAACTGAACTGCGTAATCGAAGTGAGGTCTCACAAGCCAAAATATAGTTTAGGATGACCTCGTTAGTCTTGTAACTAACACTCCTTTGTATGAACCCATGTACTTTATTAGCCTTGTTTCAAAAATACACATTGTTTACAAGGTTTAAGAGCTCTACTTATCATTACTCCTAGATCTTTCTACAGTCGGGTTTTTCTATAACATCGTTGTTCATCTGGCATCTGGTTTCTCTGTTTACATCTACTAGACTAAATACTTTACATCATTTATCACATTACATTTCATCTGCCATTCTTCAAACCATTCGAAAAATTTGTTTAGATCTTCCTGTAGATTTGGAATCACGTCATATTTAATACTCTCAATTTTAGTGCCATCAGCAAATTTACTTATGTTGATGTCTACGACTATATATGTCGTTTATATATGATATATATATATATATATATATATATATATATATATATATATATATATATATATATATATATATATATATATATATATATATATGCAAATAAATCACTGTAGTGCGCGTGATCTAGGTATGCTGATAACCACAAGGAAAGAAAAACACAATTCCCAAGCGCTCGTGTAATTCATCTTCAGGGGTGAGTACAGACTACCCTGAAGATGTGAATTACACAGCGCTGAACTTCTTTTCTCTTTCCTTGTGGTTATCAAAATATATATATATATATATATATATATATATATATATATATATATATATATATATATATATATATATATATATATATATATATATATATATAATGGTTCAAATATTGAGCTATATGGTACTCCACTAGTGACTTTACTCCAATCGGATTTAGCGCCGTTAGTGTTTACTCGCTGTTTCCTGTCCTGTAACTACGTCCTAATCTTTTTTAGAATATCTCAATGCCATGAGCCTCCACTTTTCTTATTAGTCTTTCGTGGGTGACTCTGTCGAAGGCTTTGCCCGTCGTCCACCGATTAAACAGCTTAAAAAGTTAATGATTAGTTAGACATGAACGCCCGCTTGTGAAGCCATGTTGGGAATCATTGATCAACTTGTGCTTCTCCAGGTGATTTCAAATAGAGTTTGAAATGATTGCTTCCATTTTGCCTACAATTGATGTTAGACTGATTGGACAGTAGCTAGAGGATAGTAATCTATCTCCTTCTTAAAACTCGGTATCACATTCGTTATCCTCCAGGATTCTGGTACTACACCTGTTTTTAGGACATGTTAAACAAATTTGCTAGGGGCATACTAAGCTCTTCCTTACATTCCTTTATTACTCTGGCAAATATCTCATCGGGACCTGGCGATTATTAGGCTTTAGCTTGTCTATTTGCTACTAACAGCGTTACTAGTCACTACTATTCACTGAATTTATTTCTTCACTTTCTCTGTAATTATTCGGTGCCTCGGGTATCATGTTTAAATCTTCGGCGGTGAAAACTATTGAAAAATATTTATTCAGATTATTGCTCATTTCTCCTACGTTATCAGTTAGCTCGCCGGTATCTTACTGCATTGGTGCAACCTTTTCACGTGTATTAGTTTGATACATATGAAAGAATCCCTTATATACTGTAAACGCATTGAATTCTCTTTACTGTAGATTATTTTGGGAATGGTTACTGCAGTAACAAACGTTATAATAAGGCCTTGGTGTCACTGTGAACTATTAAACTATACTTTCTACCTGACGTTCTCTAGTCATGGTGACTCTATTGCTACCATGATCGAGCCTGAGTAAAAACACTTAACAGGATGGGCTGGTTTCCTTGATTATCTCAAGGGTAGTGGTCCTGTGTGCTACTATCTAAAGCTATTGGAATTCACATATAATGCCAGTTCTCACTTCATAACAGTAAGTTGAGAAAGGTATCCAGCCATAAAATTACTGTCAAGAATGGAAAACGATAATGATGGTGTTGATATGTACATATGTATGTATGTATGTATATATAATAAAACTGCAGAGTCCAAGCCGTATAAGAAAACAGATTGAACAGTTCAGTAGGGAGAGAATGCAAAGGTCTATCATTGAATTATAGGCACAATGGGAATTCATAGAGTGAGATAGTGAGACAATTAGCTTGCTTTATCTATTAAGGTATTTTTCACATAAGAATAACAGCGCGAACAATCTGGTATGTCTTGTACTATACTGTATGCGTGATGGCAGCTAACTACAAGTTGTGTATTATGCAAATTAAGATAAGGAAATAAAAAAGCTAATGAAAAGCAAATAGAAATTATAACTACTAGTTATCTAAATCTGAAATTTGGATAGTTGTAGATTTCATATTATTAAAAGAAACTGATATGAAGTGAACGTATACTGTATATGGTACTGTATATTTATAAGTCATTTTAACTATGTAAAGATCAGATATAATAGAATGAAAACAGTGTAATAAGATAACGGGTAATGTCTTACAAGTAGAGTGATGAACGAATGCAGCTGCCAGAGGGTGTTGAACTTGGTGCAGCAGAGGAATGGGGATATCTGGTTCACTATGATGCTTATATCTGCTCGCCCAAACCTGAAAGGTTGGGTTAGGAGGATGAAGATTTGCGGTAATTGTTGGTAATGGAAATGTGTTTTGAAGTTGATTGTCTCTGGGAGGTGCAACAGAGTTGATTGGTTGAAAACATCGCATCAGGACCAATAGCTGATCATGCCGGGCCGAGGATGCCAGGAACCACTAAGTGGCGTATTTATCGACTGCGGTATGTTCATCGTCTGAGATCGTCCTGAGGAAGACTAGAGTCACCGGTTCCTGAAATGCAACCAGAAATTACTTAGTAAAATTACTTTGTACACTGTTCTATTTAGTACGTGTTTTGCTTATGTCAGAGTAACGTTACTCTGACCACCTATGTGATACGGGTAGTCCCCATTAGAGGTTCACGGCGCCATAAGCTCGTTGAACAGGCTTTGTGTGAAATATAACAGAGTCTAGGACTGCTTTAGTATCCTGGTAGTCAGTGGTTATCGTTCCCCAGTCAGATCATGGGCTCGTGGGCCGTGGGTTCGAATCCTGCCGGGTTGAGTGTTGATTGTATGTAGAAGTCCGCATGTTTATTAAGCATGAAATATATATAATATATATATATATAATCACACGGGAAAAGGAAACAAAGGAGCACATTAGCTTTCGTCTTTATTCAAAAACATCTTCAGAGGCAACTGGATTACATGGACAGAGAGGCTTAAATATACACTGACCTTATTAAACATGAGGTCAGGTCATAATGATGTCATCCACTAATCCCCACACCAACACCAACACACGTAGAGGAGCTTAAAGAAGGGGGCGACGACTGGTCAGGTCACGTCAGAAATATGGGACCCACTAAATAACTATCCTACATCTAGATCAAAGGTTTTCAAAGCATTTTTAACCTTGGGCCAATGACAAATAAATTTCTGTAACATATTATCAGTTTTGAACTGACCATCACTAATGTTTATTGATTTTAATTCCTTAATCAAACTAGCTTCAACCAGAAGTCTTTCTGTGACACAAGATGATTTGAATACTTCTAAGCTTTTTCCCAAGCAATGGATGATTATTTCCGTCATGAACGAACAAGGCACTGCTTTCAGATGCTGTTCTGATATTGTACTTATGTTGTTTGATTCTGAGCTGCAGTGTTTTTCCTGTCTGTCCCATATAATTACAATTACATTTGCTACATGGAATACAATAAACACTTCCATTTACATTCAAACTTGGGCTATTTCTATTAACATATTGGTAATGGTTGAGTCATACTTGAAACAACATTAATATTTAGTAGTTTGAGGACCGAACTAACGGAACAAATTCATTAGGCCTACGATAAGGCAGAGTCAAAATATTCTTAAGTGTAGAACTTGTCTGGTTGGAGAGGAATGAAAGGATTTTTTGCCCTTTTAAAGCAACGATCAACAAACACAGAAGGGTACCCAAGATTTTGTGCAATGGAACGAATGTGTTTATTTCGACCAGCCGTCGCCCCTTCTCTAAGCTCCCCTCTACGTGTGTTGGTGTTGGTGTGGGGACTAGTGGATGCCATCATTATGACCTGACCTCATGTTTAATAAGGTCACCCTGTATATTTAAGTCTCTCTGTCCATGTAATCCAGTTGCCCTGAAGATGTCTTGAATAAAGACGAAAGCTAAGGTGCTCCGTTGTTTCCCTTTTCCCGTGTGATTTTATCAAGATTTATCTTAACCACGTTTTTATTGTGATCTACATGAAATACACACATATATATATATATATATATATATATATATATATATATATATATATATATATATATATATATATATATATATATATATATATATATATATATATATATATATATAAATATATATATATATATAATTATATATATATATATGTATATATATGTATGACTCAACCATTATCAATATGTTATTAAAAATAGCCTAAGTTTGAATGTAAATGAAGTGTTTATTGTATTCCATGTAGCAATGTAATGGTAATTATGTAGGACAGACAGGAAAAAACACTGCAGCTCAGAATCAAACAACATAAGTATAATATCAGAACTGCATCTGAAAGCAGTGCCTGTTCGTTCATGTTAGAATAATAATCCCATTGCTTGGGAAAGCTTAGAAGTATTTAAATCATCTTGTGTCACAGAAAGACATAAGAATGAGGAAACTGCAGCGGGCCTATTGACCCATACTGGGCAGTCCCGTTTATACCCAACCCCTATTGCTCATATACATCCAACCTATGTTTGAAGCTATTCACGTATTCTAGTTAATGATGATATTTGTAACTTGTTCCACTATCCACTACTTGTTTCCAAAACAGTGTTTGCCAATTTCACGCCGAAATTTAAATTTGTCTAATTTAAAACCATTGTTACGGGTTCGCTCCTGGTTGGATAGTTTGAGTACCTTTGTAATGTCCCCTTTGTTTAACCCTGACTTCCATTTATACACCTCATCATGTCGCCCCTCACTCTACGTCTCTCGAGGAGTGCAGATTAAGATGCTTTAACCTGTCTCTGTATTCAGGTTCCTAATGCCGGGATTAGTCTTGTCATTCTCCTCTGATTCCTTCCAATGATTCTATATCCATTCTGTAACACGGTGACCAGAACTGAACTGCGTAATCCAGGTGAGGTCTTACAAGCCCCAGATCTAATTTTAAGATGAGTCATTAGTTTGTAACTAACACTCCTTTGTATGAACCGAAGTACTTTATTAGCCCTGTTAAGACAAAAACACATTGTTTACTTGGCTAAGATTCCTACTTATCATTACCCCTAAATCTTCGCAGTTGGATTCCACAATGGCATCGTTGTTCATCTGGTAACTGATTTCCTGTTTACATCTCCTATACTGAGTACTTTACATTTGTCCACATTGAATTTCATCTGCCATGTTTCCGACCATTCTAAAAATTTGTTTAGGTCTTCCTGTAGTTTTGCAGAGTCCTCGTCAGATTTAATTACACGTCCTATTTTAGTGTCATCAAGCAAATTTACTTATGTTGCTGTCTATGCCGATATCTATGTCGTTTATGCATATAATAAATAATAATGGTCCAAGTACTCGAGCCTTGGGGATCTCCACTAGTACGTTGTTCCAATGCGATTTAGTGCCTTTTATGCTCACCGCTGTTTCCTGTCCCTTAACCACGCCCTAATCCATTTAAGGATATTACCTTTGATGCCATGCGCTTCACCTTTCTAATAAGTCTTTCGGGGGACTCTGAAGGTTCCAAGTATTTCTGAAGAAGGCAGTGATGGGTAGGAAACACCGGGTAACACTGAAGTCCATTTATTAACGGATAGGAGAAATACAAGGGTGACTAGCTGATGCCTTGCACGAGGCAAAGTCAGACTGAGACTGCCTTGCCATATGGCAGCCCGGGGCAATGTTACACATAACACGTGCAGTGTTGCCACGTGATTACATATATAAATGCTACTCGGCACAGTAGCTTAGATACATAACCTACAGACTCTGTCGAAGGCTTCTAAAAGTCATATACCACATCATAATTAGTGCCCCGTCCAACCGATTCGAAAATTGATGAAAAGAATGTTAATAGATTAGTTAGACATGAACGCCCGCTTGAGAAGCCATGTTGGGAATCATAGATCAACTTGTGCCCAGGTGGTTTCGAATATTTGAAATAATTGATTCTAGTAATTTACCTACTATTGATGTTAGACTGATTACGGTAGTTAGAGGATAGTGATCTATCCCCTTCTTGAAAATCGGTATTACATTCGCTATCCTCCAGATTCTGGTACTACACCTGTTTTTAATGACATATTAAACAACTTTGCAAAGGGCATACTAAGCTCTTCCTTACATTCCTTTAATACTCTGGCAATATCTCATCGGGACCAGGTGGCTTATTAGGCTCAGTTTGTCTATTTGCTTATTAACATCGTTACTAGTCACAACTATCTCGCTTAATTTGTTTTCTTTTGCTATCTCTGAATAGAGTCAGTGCCTCTTAACAATGGTTTTAAATTAGACAAATTTCGATTTAGCGCGAAATAGGTAAACACTGGTTTGGAAACAGAGTAGTGGATGAATGGAACAAGTTACCAAATATCATCATTAACTCAGATAATGAATAGCTTCAAACATAGGTTGGATGCTTATATGAGCAGTAGGGGTTGGGTAGACAGGATTGCCCAGTATGGGCCAATAGGCCCGGCAGTTTCTCCATTCTTATGTTCTTATGTTTAAATTTTCGGTGGTGAAAACTGTTGAAAAATGTTTATTCAGATTATTGCTCATTTCTCGGTCATTATCAGTTAGCTCACCGGTATCTGAACGTTTTGGTCCAATCTTATCTCGTGTTTTAGTTTAATACATTTGGTAGAATCCTTTGGGGTTTGCTCGCCTCCTTGCTATCTTCAGTTCATTATTTCTCTTGCTTTTCTTATCTCGGTCTTAACCCTACCGGCTAATACCTTATTATACTCCCGGAGGTAAATTTCTACGATTTATCCTTCTACCTATAGCCTTCCTTTGGCCAATAATGTTCTTTAAATAATTATTTATCCATTTAGGGTCATTGTTGTCTGATCTGAGTTTTTGTATGGTATGTGCTGCCTTGCATTAAGTAACTGTTATTTAAACTGTCGTGAAACTCGGCAATCTCAGATCTCGTTATCAGGTCCTGTCATCTGTCAGGTTCACGCCCAAGCGCGACACCCTTCTCTCAGCTGCCTCTTTAAACTATCAAAGTTTGCCCTTCTGAAATCTAGGACTTTGATGGAATTTTCCTTACGTCTGACCTGAAAATCTAACTGGAATCTATTTGACACTCCCTTAAAAACACAACCTATGACGGATCCTTTCCTCAGCAGCTCCTCAGCACACATATTCATAAATTAGCATAGTGGTCTGAAAACACCATAAAATAATATTAACCACTAGAAAATTATTAGTTAGATCTGTAGGATATTTTCCACATTCTTAATTTACT